AGAATATTTACTTGAAATATGAATATTCCATCTCTCATCATCTCAATTAATTTTCTCATGTGAATAAAGGATATATTGTTATGATAATAGAAAAGGAAATTATGTTTATAAATATATTAAAGGAACGTGATAAAATCACAAATGAATTTATTTCCTGGACAAATGTTATGAAATTCTTTGATGAAAATTGTCTCTTGATTAAATTCATTTGCGAAATATTTTTTTTATTCGTTTTATTACATGAATTATATGCGTTACATTCCTGACTTTTTACCATTTAATTAATTTATAGGAAACCTTCGTTATGCGAGCCATTGTAAATTGAATTCTTCTTTCCTATAGGTTTTCCTATACGGGCCTGATAGTGTCCACGTGGTAGAGAGTTAAAAATAAAATAAAAAAGATCTACTATGAAACTAATAAAGCTTTAGCTTTAGGGGGTCTAATCCTAAAGTAACTTTTTTTTAATGAATGAATTTTTTAACAAAATCGTTTGTTTATTAAAATAAAACTATTTTATTGATAGAATTAGAAGCGAATAAATTGAAATACCTAATATTGACTTTAGGATATGCTTTAATACCCATTTCATATGGCTTCAAAATATGTAGGTAATTGATCACATCGATGGATTGCAGCGCCCGAACTCCTAGCTGCATGATATCGCTGAATTCGCTAGAATCTATTTATGGTGTATTATGGCAAATGGATTCTCGAATACTCCCTCGGAGTACGACTTAATAGTTCCTCAGTTCAGCCCTTAGGCTAGAGTCGGTTCGAACAATAAAAAGACATCCGAATTCTCTATTCAAGTTGTACTCGTCTCGCTTGTATATTTTAGATTTCCACCTCTTTATCCTAACAAGCGCCCCTCTGATAACCTTCTATCTCCCCAGTAACAATGAACCAATCTCTTTTTCCGCACGTTGACATTGAGTGGTGCGATTTTTGTCTCTCCAAATCTTTTTTCTTCGTTTTTGGTAAGTTTTCTTTATATCTTTATTAGTGTTTAGTATTAAAGATACATAGGTTAAGCTTTAACCTATATATCTTCTTTAACCACCAACACCGTAACCGTTAAGGTGCTGGTGGTAAGGAGAAGGAACTCACTACTCACTATGGTCCATTTTGAATGACTTCACCATCACCTTATTTTTCGTCCTTTGAACCTCGGGAACCTTGCAAGGGCAGTAAGATCTTTTGAACCTTCTCGGATGTTACCCTGTTTTTCCTGGTTACAAAGAGGCCCCATAACAGTTTCAGCTCTAGGATTCCAAAAATGTATGTCCTCCACTACTACCATCTGTAACAATTTTTTCGGCATTTACCTAAATATTTAAGTACAATGAGTACACGTAAAAGACTTGCAGATATAAAAGAAAGAAATCCTTAAAAAATTAATAAAACAAAAATTCTTTAAAATATAAAAAATACAAAGAAGTTAGGACAATTACAAATCTACAAGACATTGTAACACATTACAAAATAAGTATCCAGGAAAAAGTGATTGGACAAAAATTAATGTTGTGTTATATTAGCATTGTTGTTGATTTACCATATATTTTAGCCACTCTTATTATTGATAACAATTTAAATATTTATATTTAAGTCCAAGTAAGCTACCAAAAGATCTGTTATTGCTAAAGAATCTTCCATTATCAAAGTTTCAGAATGATAACATAGAGGAAAGATTTGGATGTTATAGGCAATCAAATGGATCTAATTATTATATCAGTTATAGTTAGTTATTAGAAAGTGAAAAAATTAAGATTTAAAAGCTTTGAAATGTTATCATATAAAGGTCATGATATTCAATTAAAAACAGTATTACTTTGCAAAGAAAACTTTATAAATTCTGTTACTATAGACCCATTTTATATAATACTTCAGAATGAATTTTTCTTTCAAAATATACCTGAATCTATGTTACCAATTTTCATCTATATTGCAGGCTATACAGTGAAAAAAGAAATGTATCATTTGTCAGAAATGCTTGAATCAATTAAAGTAGCAGCAGTTCAATTTTCTAATGAATTAATTCTTCATCTTGATAGAGGAAAATTAACTTTGTCTACTGAATGTGCTACTATTGCAATAGCTGCTTCGCGGTTTACCTTGCAGACAATAATTAATAAATTTCAGGACACATTTTTAAGCACAAAATATGTTCGTAATATAAACATGATATGAGGTATTCTTGTATAATTAATTTTTCTAGAATATTTATTGTAACACCATATTACAATCGACCCACCCTATAACACTGTTGATTATTCCGTTTTATATGAATTCCATGTTGTACGAGTCACTTAGATTTTACAAATACGTGCACCAGGCTGTGAACGGCTCATGTATTTGTAAAATCTAAGAGACTCGTACAACATGGAATTCATATAAAACGGAATAATCAACAGTGTTATACGGGGGTCGACTGTATACTAATAGATAGATAGACTAGTAGCACTAAGTTGGTCACATGATTTACCGATGTTTCATACCTGTATTTCTCGTTGGCTACGCGGATAATCTCTACGATTAAAAACTTTACATAAAATTTAGATACGTGTAACGAAATAGTATATTTTATTCGATTTTAAATACAATAGACTTAGTTCTACGTCTAACTAGTTCACTACTTCCATTTTTACGACCGGTATACATTTCCTATTCGATTATAGAAAATTAATACTAGAGGATACCGAAAAGATTGGACGTAAAATGTGTCCTAGTTTATTTAAAATCAAATTAAATATCGCAATATTTTGTTACATATATCTAAATTTTATGTTTAAAATCAAACACTAAAATAAATTAAACGTAAAAAATGGAAATGTGTTTTAAAAGAGAATTAAATTACTTTTAATAGATAAAAACTAAAAATAATTTTAAAAAATTTAAAAGTTAACATATTTAAATTGAATTACATTTACAAATACAGTATTTTGAAATTCAAATTTAAAAAAAAAACTGTCAATATCATTCATTTTATTGGATATTACACGACTGACGAAATTTTCAAATAAACGCCATCTGTTGAGTAAAAATGAATATACAAGTACTGTTTTCCAATTTTTTTTTTTTTTTTTTTTTTTTAAATATAGTTCAGAATTTAAAATTTTAATACATTTAATAAGTATTTAAAGAATTTTCTCAGACAAAACGTTATATTTTAAATAATCATTTTATTGTTCAATTATAATTATATACTAATAAAATATCAAATGCTTTTTATCTTCTACTATTGTTAAAATATCAAGGGGAGATTTTCTAGAAACAGTAAATATTAATCTAATATCATTAAATAAACGGTAGTTCTTTATTATGATGTGAAATTTGCTTAATAAATTATATATATATATATATATATTTTTTTTTCGTTGTTTGTTCGCTTACACGAAAGTAAACAATAGAATCGAAAATAAATTATGTGTACTTATATATATATATATACAGTATGTATATATTACTTGATTAAACAAGCTCTCGTGAGTTCAACACTTGCTAAATCATAAAAATAATTTTTTCATGCGTATTTTTCTAAGAATGACTTCTATTAGATATTAATCTAGTGAAAATCTAGACTTAAGTCAAAAATAGAATTCTAAGAAATCGTGAAAAGAAATGTCAAAGGTATAGCGGTAATCTAGATATAAATTCTAATAGAAATCCATAAAATCTAGTGAAATCTAAGAAATTTACTGAGAACTTAATGGGTCTGATGAAATTCTAAAAAAATCTATAAAAAATTTAATGAAATTAAAAAAAATTATTGAAAAACTAAAATATTTAGTGAAATTCTAAATATAGTAGGTAAGTTTTTTAAAAAAAATTAATGGAAATTTAATAAATTTAGTGAAATTACAAGAAATCTAGCAGCTGTCCAGAAAGGCCATTAAAGATCTAAAAAGAAATCTAGCGGAGAATTAAAAAAAGTTTATTGAAAATTTGGTGAAATTCTAAGAAATCTAATAAAAGAGTAAGGATTCAGGTAAAGTTCTAAATTTATTAGAAACGTATAAAGTCTAATAACATTTTAAAAAAATCTAGCAAGAGCATAAAAAGTCTAGTAAAAATTGAAAAAAATGATGAAAATGTAAGAAATCTGTAAAATTTTTAGAGATTTAATTGCTTCGTAGTAAGAGTATTGAAAGTTTAAGAAGTTTAGTGGAAAGCTAACAAGTATAGTAATAGTGCAGGAAGTGTGGTAAATTGGCTTATTCCATAACCGTGTCTTCTTTTAATTATTCTTTACTTCACAGCTGGGTGCATAAGTAGATACTGTACATCTTTAACATCACTCTGAAGATATTCCTGAATAAAGAGTGATGTTAAAGATGCCCAGTGTCTATCTATGTACTCAGTTGTGAAGTAAAGAAGGAATAAAGTGTGGTGAAATTCTAAGAAATCTAATAGGAATCTAGATTTTTTCGACTTTCACCAGATATTTGTTTTGAATTTTTCAGATTAAAAATCTTAAAAATTCAAAGAAATGTAATGAAAGTTTAATAAATCTGGTGAAATTCTAAGAAAAGTAGTGGCTATTCGGAAGGATAATGAAATTCTAAGAAGTCCAAAGGAAACAGAGTAAGAAAATTGTATACAGTAGACCCCTCTATAACACACACAATTCCGTGTTATATGAATTCCGTGTTGTACGAGTCACTTAGATTTTACAAATACGTGAGCCGGGCTGTGAACGGCTCACGTATTTGTAAAATCTAAGTGACTCGTACAACATGGAATTCATATAACACGGAATTATCTACAGTGTTATAGGGGGTCTACTGTAAATGTAATAAATTTTTACAAGAAGATTGATTTACCAAAGAAACAATTACACAGAAAAAATTAAAACTTTATCAACTATTTATTATCTTAAATACTAAGAAATCACCTAAAACACAATAAAAATATAATTAAATTCTTACCATTTTTAATTGTATTTAACAATACTTTACAAATAAAAATATTGATATTATTACGCCATGGTTAATTTCAATGAAGAATTAATAAATATTATGCAATATTTGCTTCAAAATTAATAACATAAATGAGTCAAGTATGTTCTAATTCTAATGTAATTTTATGAATAAGCATGTATTAAGGCTTATTAATTTGGTTTATTGGATTTTTAAGGATAAATTAGTTTATGAAATTCTGGAACCCATTTTACAAGAAATGGAGGAACAACTGATTAACGAATTTAATGAATCTTTCGATAGAATTAAAGGAACAGTTAGCGAAACAAAAATTATTGTTCAAAAATTAATTAGCCAAATATCTTTAACAGAAATGACAAACGAAATGAATAAGATGGAAGAGAGATTGAATGAAACAGTAACGTAAGTTTAAGAAATAAGTTAATAAAATTTTATGGAAAATATTCATGTAAAAAATGTAAATTAAGAAGTAATAATATACATATTTAAAATATTTTAAATTAGTTTTTATGAAAAGAAAATTGGAACAATATTCAAAAAGATGAAACTAGCAAACGAACGACGAAAGAAAGCTTCTTTATCATCATTAAAATACAAAACCGTGGCTGACTATACAGAATATTTTACTAAATAAACAATTTAAATATATTTTAATGCAAAATTCTAAAAATGTAAAAATCATTAAAAATAAATATCGTTTTATCTGTGCAATCAACTGTAAAAAGTATAGAATCATCCGTAAAGAATTAGCTATATTATCCAAATTAACCATAGAATCATTCATACCAGCCATGTCAAACAATCATCCATGTAAGCCATAAAATCAGCCCTATCAGCCATACAATCATCCATGTAAGCCATAAAATCAGCCCTATCAGCCATACAATCATCCATGTAAGCCATAAAATCAGCCCTATCAGCCATACAATCATCCATGTAAGCCATAAAATCAGCCCTATCAGCCATACAATCATCCATGTAAGCCATAAAATCAGCCCTATCAGCCATACAATCATCCATGTAAGCCATAAAATCAGCCCTATCAGCCATACAATCATCCATGTAAGCCATAAAATCAGCCCTATCAGCCATACAATCATCCATGTAAGCCATAAAATCATCCATATCAGCCATAAAATCATCTATTTAAGCCATAAAATCAGCCATATCAGCCATACAATCATCCATGTAAGCCATAAAATCATCCATATCAGCCATACAATCATTCATGTAAGCCATAAAATCAGCCATACCAGCCATACAATCATTCATATAACATCATTTAACTATAAAATCATCTATAAATTCTCTCAGATTACTTAAAACACTTGATATTTTAATTATAAAATAGAGTAATCGATTTATATATAAAAATCAACGCGATTTAATCCAAAATTAATTAATAAATTTATATTAAATTTTTATACGAATTTATATTATCTTTAAATTTATAATTGAATTAGTTTTATGTAAATTAAGTTTAAGAATTAATAAAATATTTTAAAAGCGTGGCGAATTTTTTCCCTCTGAAAATTTTGATATTCTGCAATTCAAGCAGAATATTACCAATTTTAAACATGTAATTTGTTTTTTTTATACTAAACTAATTTAAATATGAAGCAAATAAAACACAAATTTACTATTTTTTATAAAATAAAAAAAGAGTAAATTTATTCAAAAAATATCAGAATAATCACATCGAAGTTTGTTCTTCTTGCAATGAACGTAAAATGATGAGTTTATTTTGCATTTTTTGGATTATAAAATTCGAATTTTCCTCTTAAATTACATTCATATACATTTGAATATTTTAATTTTAAAAAATATACAAAATTAATTTTTCTTCTACGAACAAATTATTTTAAAAACATCAATTTTTTTCGGTGCAATATAAATTATATGTTACCATCAGCGATACCAATTTTATAAAAAGATAAATTATATATATTTAATATATTAAGTTAAATATAACAATAAATAAATATTTAAAGCATTTATACACATTTATATATACAGTAGACCCCCCTATTAAACGGGTTCATATAGTTCGGATTCCTATATGACGGCGAAAAAATTGCGACAGTATTCGTACAAACATGCTAAAAAAACTCCTATAATTCGGTAAAACGTCATCGCTGACTCGTGTCGCGACAGGATTGGTCGAATCTAGACCAATAGCGGATATTGTACAAACCATTGAGTTTAAACGAGCAGCGGACCTACTAAAAACCATCTATTATTTAACGTCCATAAAAATTATATTTATATTAATGATGCCTCCAAAGTTTAGCGAATCTTTCGAAAAAAAAAAATAATAATAATAATTTATCAGGAAGCACGCGAGCGCCATTCGATGACAAGCTCCACGACGAAAACAAGCTTAAGCAATGGCGTCGTCGAACGGTGCACGCTCGGTAAGTAATCCTACAATTTTTTGTTTATAGCATAGTTTATACGGATTATTCCCAAAAAATTATACGTGTTTTAGAAATGTTGAGTCAAATTAGTCTAGAATCGATTAATTTTATGGAAGAAAACCTTTCAAACAGCCGTAGTCCGTAAACTGCATATGTGCCGGGCTGTGATTGGCTTATGTATTTAAGGACTCGTAGAAAATGGATTCATAAAAACCGGAACGTATCTATCGTGTTATAGGGGGGTCGACTGTATATATATTTATCTCCAGTATGTTTCACAATTACGAAAGTATTCTTCATTGTTTCTCAAAATTTGATTGGATTCAGTTGGATCAAAATTTGGTAATTTTCCACCAAATTCTTCGGGTAGATATTTTGGATCAATGTATGTGTGAAGTGAATCGATATCAGATCCATATAGATGTATCTGTGAAAAAATAATTACAATGAATAAAATATTGAATATCAATTATGGATATCAGCAAAGATTTTCTTTGAATATTTCTTATTTTTTTACCTTGTAAGCCATAAAATCATCCATGCCATCCATACAATCATCCATTTATGCCATAAAATATGTGAATCATTAAGATAGATAAATTAAAAATTTTATCTTGAGAATATTGAGATATATTTTTAATTTAGAGAAGTTCACTGAAGATCTTAATGTATCACAGTAAAAAGTAATTTGAAGATCTTAACGACCTACTTTATGAAGATCATTGACGATCTTAATGGACCACAGTAAGACGTTCAGTGAAGATTTTAATGGACTACATGCAGAAGCTCGTCGAAGAACTTAATGAATCACAGTAACCATGCTCTTTGAAGATTTCACGAAAGAAATTTTCAAAGAACTTAACTATAAATATTTGATTTTATATTAATCTTACTCTTTTTCTTAGCTTCTCTGGTAAGAGTGGCAATAATAATGTTATCACGGCTTTGAAGTACTTATTAACGTTAATGAAATGAATTTCTTTATATTTCATTTGATATGAATCCTGTAAATGATTGAAAAATTAATTTTAAAATTTGTTAATTTGTAATTGTTTAATTAATATTTCTTGAAAGTTATTAAATAATGTCAACTGACAGATAATTCAGTGGAAAAAATATGATTTTTTTAATCGAGAATACTTATGAAAAATCAGTAATTTTTACTCATTCATTGTTAAATCGATAATAAACTTTAATGAATCCATATAAAGGCTTCGTTTTTATTAGTATTTAGTTTTATTGCAAGAAAAGTATTTTATAGTTGAATAAGAGCATCTGTATTATTCTCTGTATAAGAGTGTCTATATTACTATTCATATATTAGAAATTAGACAGAAATGGTTGAATTATTCGAGTGACAGAGTGGCCCAAAAGATACTGTATAGTTTAATGCTTTAGTTCAACTGAAAGATTTGATACAGTAAGTTGTGGTCCACCAGTGGCCAAGAGGTCTTCGTACCCTGAATATTAGGAGTTCGGTCGTGGGTTCGCGCCTCGCTTGGAGGGGCTGACCACGTGGAGTTTTAGTTGTGGCGTTACAGATATGTTTGCTCCACGTCAATTTCATGTGGCCAGTCCATTGGTGAGGTGCGAATCAAGTTCAGTGGCTTTATCCACTCGATCATTGATAGGCCAAAGCATTAAACTTATTAAATAACTTTTGAACCGTCTTATATAATTATATATATTTAAATATTATACGAATTCTCAGAAAGTAATTTTATGAGATTTTGGATAGATTTGCGTGTTTTCAAAATAGGAATGCCAAATTAAGAAAAATCTTAATACTTACGTATAAAGTTGTTATCAATACATGAATGAAATTAGGAGTGAATTGAACAATATGTTTCCAAGAAATATCTGCAGCATTCACTACTACAACTAAACCATTTGTCTGTAGACGATGGTAATTAATATATAAATCTAAGAATAAAATAGCGCATCGAAAAACGTCGACAATATTGGCAACATCTGTGTTCCAATGTCCTATCATAAGAAAACCAAGCATGTAGAGTAATTTGCACTAGTTAGCCTTTTACAAGTTGAGAATTTATATAAAGAATTTTACAAAATCAATGATTTAAATTATCATAAAAATTCCAAAATTTATAAATTTATTTAAAAATGTATACTTACTGCCACTTGCAACACCGATCAATCGTCCATGTTGATCAGGCTTTGGCAAAAATTGCATTATGTTTAAACGAAGAACTTTTTCTAATGATGAGGGATTAAGATTGTTAAAAATTGTTGGATACTTCCTTCTTGAAGAATAATAATTACTTATTAATTTATATGCTCTTTCTCTATTAAACTTTCTGGCTCGAAGAATGCCAAGAATAAATATATCGTCGGTTCTGCATCTTAGCTTTTTGTTAACTAAAAAAAATACATATTTTAATTACGAAATATTATTTTTAAATATTAAACTTCCAAGATAAATAATAGTTATTATAAATGGTAAGCATGCGAGAAAGAGATCCAATTCATAGATCCAAAGAGATCCAGGAGGAGATAGATGGCTACAACAAGTGGAGGAAACACGAAGGACTATGAGTTTCAGAAACAAAAAGACAATATATAAGAGAAAAAGTTGGTGTGAGGAAGGTAAAGACAATACTCTTGCATGGGATACAAACTATTTAGAATAAGTGATATTCTTCTGTTTGGCTTACCACAAAGATTGAGAAAATGCATATGATATATGCATGTATCGGATCCCAGTAGTCTCGTGTAGAGATTACTAGGATTTAATTCAATTTATTTTTTAGTTTTTAACTGTCTTGTAGGCTATTAAGCCATTTGATTTCTTCCTGTTTTGAAACGTGAAGGATGTTGTTTACAAGACCTCCTCCATGATTTTCCTCGATGAACTGGAGCTCATAATTGTAACTACGGTAGAAATAGTTACATTGCAAATTTTGGAGAACAGAAAAGAATTAATTGTCACTTGGAAATACGTGCCATGAAATGCCCTCACGCTGAAGTTGTATTCTGCAGAATTGATTCTACTGTATACGTAATACGAGTAAAACTCTTTGAGTTAGATTTTCATATTCTATAAGCAGTTTTAGTTTGCTTTTTTTTTCATTTGGAGGGGCCCACTGGTGGCGGAGTGGACAAAACCACTAGACACAGATAGTTGGACGTGTTTTGGCGCCTCATCAATGGACTGACCACGTGGAGTTTTCTGGCTTTTCCTCATGTGTGTAACACCTCAATGGGGCCAGCTTTTTGTGTAAATCCTCCAGACATTTCCTTTGGTAGATCGACAACGTTACGTGTTGGTATGCCACATTACAACAAAAGCAAACCATATGGAGGATTATAGGACACAGCAATTCCGACAATAATATAGAAGCATCCTGTTTATCATCGTGTTTTAAAACTAAAAAATTATATTTAATTTTTGAATCTTTTAATTAATAATATATTTGTATAGTTACGAAAAATATGTATTGAATGTTGCATTAAAAAGACCTTTATTTTCCAAATGATATACAGTATACTTTCAATATAATAAACTCTCAGAGGACTGAGTTAAATCCTTCATTGTATAGTTTGTACGTAAAGAATACGTACGACCAATGGAATTGCTCACTATATCGGGAAATTGATTAAGCTAATATTTTTACAGTGTAGTAAAGATAGTTTATATCTTNACTGTAAATGTAATAAATTTTTACAAGAAGATTGATTTACCAAAGAAACAATTACACAGAAAAAATTAAAACTTTATCAACTATTTATTATCTTAAATACTAAGAAATCACCTAAAACACAATAAAAATATAATTAAATTCTTACCATTTTTAATTGTATTTAACAATACTTTACAAATAAAAATATTGATATTATTACGCCATGGTTAATTTCAATGAAGAATTAATAAATATTATGCAATATTTGCTTCAAAATTAATAACATAAATGAGTCAAGTATGTTCTAATTCTAATGTAATTTTATGAATAAGCATGTATTAAGGCTTATTAATTTGGTTTATTGGATTTTTAAGGATAAATTAGTTTATGAAATTCTGGAACCCATTTTACAAGAAATGGAGGAACAACTGATTAACGAATTTAATGAATCTTTCGATAGAATTAAAGGAACAGTTAGCGAAACAAAAATTATTGTTCAAAAATTAATTAGCCAAATATCTTTAACAGAAATGACAAACGAAATGAATAAGATGGAAGAGAGATTGAATGAAACAGTAACGTAAGTTTAAGAAATAAGTTAATAAAATTTTATGGAAAATATTCATGTAAAAAATGTAAATTAAGAAGTAATAATATACATATTTAAAATATTTTAAAAATTGTTTAAAATTTTATAAAATTATAATAATCTTTACTCTGTGAAAACATTTAATAAAATTCTTTCAGGAAATATTACTCACCTGACCTGTAGCAGTGAGAATAAATCAAAATGCACAATAATAAATGATTTTAAATGAGAATTTTTTCCAACCAGTAGGTCACGAACTACATAGACTTGTAAACTGATATTGATAAGGCAAGTTCACTCTCTTCCACTTCGTTAAAAACAGGTCACTAACTAATTAAGAAACTGATTTGAAGCTATTATAAAACCGACAACGTGTTACAATTACAAATTAATTTATTCATTACAATTTTATAAATTACATTATTCGTATTTGCTTTCTAAATAATATTTCGAAATGATCAAGGTTAAGAAAAATGTTTTAAAATATTGGTCAAATTTATGATAATTTTTGTAAGTTTTATTATTTACGTGACATGAATAATATAGTAATTGACTCAATAGACATAATGCAAGCAATAAAGGGTCATCAGCATCCCTTTAAATGAACATAAACATAATATTTAAGGCCACAGAGCATACAAAGTGTATAATGACGTATAAATGTATAATTTTGTCATTATTTCTCATACCTTTCTCTAACTTGAATATCGCAAGGTATGATTAAATTTAATCCGTAAACTGACCAAATTCCAAATGGGCATATTCATGCGTGTCTAAACCTTAAGGATGAATGACATTTATACATGAATACAGAGCAGAGTGCAGACATATATGACAGAACTGAGTTACTTGAGGCCGAACACAACACAGGTCTAATACACAACAACTTGTAGGATTTTACAAATTAAAGCTATAAGTAAGCCTTTGATGAAAGATACACAATACAGTGGCGCGTTATGTTATGGGCGAATAGGGCAATTTCCTGAAGCCTCCATTAACAGAGGGACCAAACCAATCCTTTATAAGAAAAATATATTTTCAAAGAAGCATGTCTGAAAGCAACACTGTATACCCCTAATTCAAATTTGTCTGGGCTCCATAAAGCTATAACACGTAACTGTACCAATACACAAGAAGAGAGACCTGTCAGTATGGAGTAAGTTCATTTCGATTGTTGTAAAACTCTCATCGTCGTCAAGACATTTTATAGCTCACATTGCTAGCAATTGTATTCGTCCTTACTTTTTGAACACGTGTGTACATCAGAGGATCACATACTGAGTGTATAGCAAGGTATTACTTTAGTATAAAATGGCATGACCTAATTTAATAAAATCTCTAAAAATCTGGCTAATCTCTCGATTTTAATTGAAATTTTTAAACGAAAACAATTTAAATTATTATAATTATATATTCATATCTTCGATTCTTACTCATTAAAGTACTGTACATTAAGTATTCGTAATATTTATTAAAACATGAATATGCAGGATATACAACATCATATTTATAATATCTCGACAAATAAACAGTATAACACAATATATTTTTGATATTATTTTTCGAATTAAAGCTTAAATAATAGTAAAATAAATAAAGAAAATAAATTACAAGTTTAATTATTTTATTCTTTCAACACTTCTTATCATTGACCAATAAAAAGTGGTTTTATTGCTTGACATACATCACACACCAGACTTTTACTTTTATGTCCTAATTGTTTCCTGAATAACTGTTGTAAAACGAGACGTCATATTTCATTTCAGCTGTGTTATAAACCAAGAATACGTTTCTAGAAGGGAGTGTGCAGTTTAAGGAGCTCGCGCCATCATTGTACACAACAGGAAGGGAGGGAAGTGTCTAAAAACAGTACAAGTAATTAACGTCCCTTGTAATTAATGAAGACGTACATATGTACACGTACATACAACCTTACTATATATATACATTTATTAGTTAGTTATAATATATTATGCACATATTAAAAGCGTACATGTGTGCGTATGTGTATACTAACATAAAGTATAAAGTGTGTGTGTATATATATATATATGTGGTAAAAGAATTCTAATAAAAGCCCTTAAATTAAGGGCTTTTATATTAAAATGCCTTTATTATGTACGTCTTTGTTCTATATGTGTATAGAGTAGTGTAACTAATGTAAAATCCATCATTAAATATGAGAAATTATATCTAAAATATTTATATTTTTCACTTTAAACATCATTCTTAATTCATATTAAGTACTATTTGCCCTAAATATCGTAACAATGTTATCTGGTCAAGGCAAATGTATTACTTGAAACTAGAAATCACTCTTTTTATGTATTATTTTAACGATTTTGTAAATCCAAAAAGCAGGGAAAAAAATGTTACTTTTTAGAATAAAATATAAACATTTCATTTAAATTATTTACATGTTATTAAGTAAAAATTAAATTTATAAAATAGCAATTTGTGAGCTTTAATCAAGATAATTCTGTTTATAATCCGCTGATTACATTACGAAGAAGAATTAAAATGTATACATCTTATGTTTATATATATTTAATACACATCGAGTTAATATTGAAAACATCGAATAAAATAGGTCACTTTTTTTATTAGTAATTGTAATCATTACAGACGTTTATAATTAATATTCTAATCGTTAGATATTAAAAAAATGGAATTAAAATCGTAAGTCATATACAGTTTTCAAGATTTATTATACCAGAAAATAATAAAATAATCGGAGTTTGAGAGGTGTGAAGAACTACAAGGATTCGTCTTCTTTAATTAAGGCACGACCAAGCTCTTGAAATATGATTTTATTCATATATTTTTATAGATTTCAGAGAATGAAGAGACTCACAAATATGGGATTTTATTCACATATTTGTGTGACTTTCATTGAGAGATGAGACAGTTACCCAGTTACATTATTTACTTGTTGAAGAATCTCCAAAATTCCTCATTTTTTTCTGAAGATTCTCATTTAGTTCTTAAGGAATAAATATGTGAAATAAATTCGCTTCCTAATTACACAAAGAGACATTTATGATAGATATATTTATGTAGGAAACATTAAATTTATGAAAAGAATTGAATTCATGACACCAGCAACCATATTGGCTCATTGTGCTATTTTAACTGAATGTTCTTTATATGTTTTCACATGTAGATCAAGACTTCAATTCTCAAATATAAATCTTTCTAATGGAAGGATTGAAAGAAGGAATAATCTTTCTAACGTAGGATATCCTATTCGTGCAGGAAGTTACATGAAGAGGATATCTTATTGCTTTAGGGTTGCCAGATTTCCCGGTTTCCTGATTTTCATCTCCTATCGAAAGATGGTAATCGGAAAAAAAATCTGTTCGTACAATGAAGTATCTTTTTCTTTTCTACATTTTAAATTTCAAAGTACCCCAATGAATTTAAATTACTTGAGGTTCCTTCGAATGTAAATCCAACATTGCCTTTAA